ATTATATTTCGGAAAATTATCTAAGAAAACTACATATATTTCTACCAAGGAATTGAATTGATACTAATTTTTTGTCAATACGGAAGTGGCGTTTCATATTTTTTTACACAAGCATGCGTTACTTTGAATCGTGTTTGTCACTGAAGAGAACCGAGAGTGCGATCGAAATGTTTGAATTTATTGTATTCGTTAATCGAAGAATTCACTTTTGTTTAATTTCTCGCTAATAATATATCCGATGTCGATTCTTATCTGTCTCTTGCACATTTTTTCCCGATCGTTTATTCAAGAGCCTTCACCAACATTTCTTTACTATCGAATCGTGTTTCTAAGTCAATAAATGCGATCCGCATCCTCGCCTTGTCATTTCCCGTTATTCGAAGCAGGCCGCCTCGAGATCAATAGGTAGTGCACGATGGCGAAAGCACAAAGGATCGGAACGTTGAAATGGCAAGAGCGGAAGAAGTACTTCCCACTTTCACCGTCGCACACAACGCGGTGTCGTGATAAATACCTAGTGAATTCTCCCTCAAGAATTCTCCCCGCGTTACATCTTGCGGGTTATTATATAATTGTGTCATGCATACTTGATAGCGCCATTGTGAATGCAAATGCAATCGCTGAATGAAGTAATGCGTCTAAGCATGTCGCTTATGCGTTTTGCATGAATGTTCCTACTCGCGACGATTTTCACGATGAGCTGTTATTCAACCCACGTTTCAGAAACCATCACGAAGATTAAAGTCCCGACCAACGCATTAACGAATGTATTAAATAATGAGTTTTGTGTTACGGTTCATCTAAATTTTTGCGTTACTTTAACATTGGGAATATGTTAAAAAGTGCACAGTAAAAATATGCAAAATTACACATATTCATCCCTAAAGTCATACACATTCATCATTAAAGTAACACAAAAATCTAGATGGGCTTTTTACTGCATACGTTACGCCAACCTGCAGCGATATACCAATTTAGAATACATTGCCATTGTTGTATCGTTCTTTGTTATAACTTTCCTATCTTTATTAACGTGTTGTTTCAATTTATTTACTATTACATCTCACATCGCGTTTGCTTCATTTTCTCCATTATCGCCGTCACAGCTGTACGCACGCAAGAAAGAAATGTCTAATCTTTTATTATTAACTCGACCGTGAATATCCGCTCGTGGTGAACGAGAGTCTCTATTTTCGTTTAGTGCACACCTAAGTCATGGATACCTTGCTTCACGTGCAGCGCTTTACTTTAAAATTCTCAGTAGCGATAATGCAGCGCGCTTATGGACGGTGATCAATGTTGACCTTTCGAGAGCGAGCGACCTAAGCGACTGTCGTGTCGCTAAATATATACACGGGTGACTAGAAAGCATGTTAAAAAGACGAGCGCGTAGACACGTGAAGTGCGTTCGTGCGTTCGCACTCGTCCCGCACACGTTACACCGTACTAGAATCCTCGTTCGCGAGAGTCGCAAGGTGTTCGGCCTCACCCAGCCAGAAGAGAAAATCGGAGATATGAAGCAACAGCGAACGTTGCAACATTCAGTTACGACTGTTTGATTTATTTCACAAATAGCGACATCTGTGGAATCTTTGGTCAATGACGTTCCTTAAAAGAAAAAGGGAAAAAGAAGTTTTACCGCATGTTTTCTCACCTCGACGTTTCCTTTACCTGTATGTGTGTGGCAATCTGTGATAATTACGACTCGAGTTAAATGAAGCTTTGCCGAGAGAGAAATACGCCAAGTTGTATTGAAAGAGCAAGCAGCTTCTGTTGTATATTTACAAGAAATGAACAAATTTATATTGAAGAAATGTATATTTAACAAATTTAAATTTAAGAAATTAACAAATTTATTTGTTAACTTGGGAACTACTAATTTCTACACATGCGAACGGCAGTCGTTTAATTAATATTACATTTATGCCGGTTATTTCTATTACCTATCTTAAGAACGGTGGCGTGAATTTAACGTCTCTATTCGACGTTATTCCGCTTCTTAATAAGATAATAATAACGTGACAGAGCAAAGCGTTATTGGCAATAAAAATGTAGAATAACTCTCTGAGGATTGGGCTGTCGTGAATGATTACGTTGCCGAGTTTCAACGATAACGCACGTCATAAATTATCGTCCAATCCGACCCGCGACTCGTCAATTTCACATTTACGGCCTAAATAGGCCATATTAGGACGTACTTCGCGTGCCTTACCGCAATCGCTACATTAAATGCAATACGCGCTACGCAATAGTACGGCAAATACAATGCTCGTGCGAACGTAATCGGAAGGCCCGTAATTTTCCGTCGAGTTTAATTAACGCCAAAATGAATGGGGCGTACGTGCAATTTATAAACGAATTTCGTCGAAGTACGAAGTAACTTACTAAAAGAACAAAATAACTTTAATGTCTAAAAAATTTCTCCCCTCATATATTTTTATATAATTTGATTTTTATCTTGTGTGTCGTAAAAGATAAAATGACGTCACGAAATCGACACGAAGATATAAAAAGATTCATATTTTTTCATATTCCTGCACAGGAAAAAGGTACTAGATTCACACATAATAAATAATAATAATTATTATACAAATTATTATACAAATAAATAATTACTCCAATATTCTTTTTCAATATTCTCTCAGAAAATCTTTACTTGGATTAAATCAATTTTACTTAAACCAAGTAAATATTTTACTTAAATCAAGTAAATATTCGCCAGTGAGTATTGGAATAATTATTTACTTGAATCTAGCACTTTTTCTCCATACTCGATATTTCTTACATTTATATATGTATATAATATTACGTTCGTAACGAACATAAGGAAAGGAGCAGAGCAGCTTTGAGGAAGATGATGCGATTTCGTGATATCGATATTCTGATTCATCTCTATAAACAACAATGAAGTATCCGCAATAATATTTTTCCCGTTATCCCCTCTCCCCCTCTCCCGGTGATTGTCAGCAATACCTGCATGGTCGCCAATTGTACGTTATTCTAGTCGTTGCTTTATGAATATTATCAAGGGTTAATCGGGGTTCATCAAACAAGGCACGTCGAAGCGAGATAGTTTCATGATTCACACACGAAGGGGGCTCGGATGACCATTTACTGCGTAATATCTGATGACTTATGCATAATCTACGTTAACGCACGCATGCGTGAGTACTGTTCCACCGAACATTATCCAATGCAACAAATGTGGTGTGTAACTGTATTTTGCAAAGCCTGGTGCCTCATCTCTAATTATTCGCGCGAGCGATATGACACAATGTTGTAGATTCGCGATTACTTGGCGCGTACTTATGTGTGCGCGGTGTATGCTTGAGAAATAAATATAATGTCGTAAATCGAACGATTCGTCGGAAGATAAAGGCCTCGTCGCTACACCGATTTTCCTCTCCCTCAATTTCCGTTCCGCTAATTCCAGACTGCAGAGAAGAGCCGGACGGACGGACTTGCGGGAAGATTACTTGATATAAGATCCGACTTGTGTGCCCACAATAACACTTCTGTAAGAAGCCACATGTGTTTCCGTGTGGACCGGCTCAGTTACGCGGAACGAGCGAAATTACAGCAATGTGCAAAGCCGACGTCGAGATAAGGCCTCGTCGGCGAGGAATCTCGGCGACCCACATCCGTCGGTCGTATTACAGTTACTAAATGGCCAGCCATTACAGTCGGTACCTACCACGATAGGTTCGACCTGTCTGTGTCCGGCCGTTACTGTAATCTTCATTGGCTAATTAATTGAAGTTACATATGTTCACGAGCCGAAGGGAGCGACAGTAAGCGCGATGGGGTTATAAATTCGAAAGATAGCGCGATTTGTCGGACGCTGTCCAACGGAGAGGAGTATCATCCGTGTCAAATAACGCGCGCTGAGTAACTTTTTCATTGACGCAAGATAGTGCACGTTTCAACCGATAAACGTGTCGCGATCGTGTTACGCGCGGCATCTGTAAGCGATAGAATGATTAAAACACGGATATTGAGATATATATACCGCCTGATATACCGGGAACCGAAACGAATCTTTGTTGTTGCAGTTCTACGCTAGAAATTGCGCGAATTGGTTCGCGTCGATTATCACGATTTGTGAGAAACCGGGCGCACACATTGGAAAATCTAGCGGAAACGAATTACGATGTTGTCACAGCAGGTCGATAAAGGGACGAATTATTAGCGCGATGTCGGAAACTTCGGCCTCTCTGGAAATAGACGCCGGAAGTCGCGAGTTGTAAAAAAAGGTGCGCTATTCGAGAGGAGTCTTTTCCTCGCGTGAGTTTACATTGGCGGCGGGCCAACGCACGGTGTGTTTCATCGGCGAGATTTTCTCTCTCAAAAATCTCACCGCCACCATCAAGATCTTATGGCCGCGGCGAAACGCGCGATAAAAACAACCGATAGACCTGTAGATTTGGATCTGTGGTTTCAATTAGCGCGTCGGCTGCTGATTTTCCAGCCGCAACCGCGTGTAACAACGGAAGTCGATAAACAACAACATCGTGCGCAATTATTCTCAATACGCCGTCCCGAGGATGCCGGGCGAAGTATTGAGCAAATTCGCGAAAGCGTTAAGGACGTATCACCCATATTTCAAAATAATGGAGAAATTATGAAAAAATCACCCATTGATTTACATTGCATTTAAAAGTGGCACGAAAAGTTTGACGATAATTTAGAGCCCGGATCGAAAGTTGTTCCATTTTAAGGAGGTTGTAAGTCCTTGAAATGAGATTGATAAGAATTCGATCAAACTTGCACTACGTTAAACAAATATAGCATTAATAAGAAAAATAAACGATAGTATTATAATATTGTATACATTGAAAAAAATATTGTTACGTTCAAGTAAATATTTGCTAAGGAATATCACGATAGTTTATTTTATTTGGATTAAGTAAATATTACTTGAATGTAACACAATGAGAGACAAAAAGTGTTGCATTCAAATAATATTTACTTGATTCAAATAAAATAAATTGCTCCAATAGCAAATTCAAATAATATTTACTTGAACGTAACTATTTTTTTTCTTTTCAGTATACATATGTCTACGTCGACTTCGTTTCAACGTTAACATTTATTATTTAGATAGCGAAATAAATGCATAGGGATGTAATTTCGCTCGACAAATACTAAATTTACGAGTGTCCTCCTTCTTGACGCGCCACTGAAAATACAACACTGACGGGCAATACATCCTTAAATCGCGTCGAATCTTAGCATACGATCCAACAGGTCGCAACGTGCATCTCTCTCCCACTCGAGCCGAGCGCGCTCGCTAGGAAAGGAAGGAAAGAGGTTCGCCAAATAAAATTAACATCGATCAAAGAACTTTCTCAAACGTACGGATATACAGTTATACAGTCCGCTTCATAAATAATGCATAAGCAGCTCGCCGTATAAGCGACCGGTTCGATTATTTTCGCCCAGAAATAATCGAGGCCCGAATCGAGTTGTCCGAAAGGCGCCGCGCGCGGTTACCATGCGGGACACCTTGCGCCTTCACTAGGAGGAGATAAAAGTCGCGGAATCCGCGCGGGGAATTTCTAAAATAGGCGCTGCCCCCTCCGGTGAGAACGTTCTCGACGGCGACCCCGCCACCGATCGCGAACGAAACGTCCGCCGCTGATCGAAGAGGTAAGAATGCGCCAGGTTGCCGGGTATGAGTCCGATTACGCGTGTGCGAAACGTACATGCCAATCTCGCTTCTTTCTCCCGTTTCCCCAGATCGGCGCGTCTCGCTCTTTTCCTCCTCGTCTAGGCGGGATAAGCCATTAGACACGCGGATAGCGCGCACATTGCGCAAGGCGCGGCCTGTCCTTGTGCATAAGCCGAGTCGCGCGCAATTACCGCGCTGCATAACTCGCGGCCGATATAATACGCCGCCGGCCTACACTAGACGCACGCCGGTTAACACAATGCCACAGTGGTGGGAGAGAGATAGCCCTAGCCGCCGTGGCCGCCCCCGCTCCTTGATATTGTGATAAGTATTGCGCAATTGGCGGCGCGCGGCTGTTTCGCTCGACGTGGGCGATCAGAATTCGCGATATGTACCCGAGGAGATGGAAGGTGAAGATCGTGCTCGCGTCTACGTGAAAGGAGCGATCGGAAATCGACCTTCCCGGAGAAGGGAGAGACTTCCGTTCGAAAAATTCGACGAGGAAACCGGCGATATCTGTCCGAGCAGAAATGTATCCACTCGGTCTGAATTCAAAGCTGGTTTAGCTAGTATGGTAACAGGCAAGGTCAAATTTTCCACCTCGTTATTGGCTGATTATTCGCTAAAATGTAGGATCGAACCGTTGTATGATCGAACCGTTGTCTAACTATTATGTATTTAATTTGATAGAATAGACGGTGTTGTCTATTCAAATATATATAATTTAGTTATACTAAATACGTAGTGAAAAATAGGGTGTTAAATTTAACACATTTCACACATCCTAAACGATCGTAACTGTAATTTCTTTTGCTCGATCAGCTAACTTATTTATCCAGCCATTACTTAGCCACCATAGGAGAAGTGAGTGTTACATTATTAGCTAATAGCGACATTAGATGCAAATTTACTACCTCATGCCTAGACAACCGCGAGATTCAATTTCTATCAGAATACATCTATCGGGATTTACTTGCGCCATTATGCGAGTAAATAACTTTATCTCCTTGCGTGCGGGTAACATGATTATAAAATATATTGAGATGTTTCCGACGATGCCTTTATACCGTAATTCCTCCGATCGATAAGTGTTAATTAAAAATTCCACGGCTTACTGGGTTGCATATCGTAAAACGTATGCAATTTTCTCGCTAAGAATTACTAATAACCGTTCTCTCGCTTTCCGCCCTTGATCTTGAAATCACCTAATTATCGAACGAACGTTGCACGCGGGAGCCTACACGAGCATAAATGTTGAAACATAGCTAAAGAAGCGTATGAGTATGGTACCACGGTCGTTAACACGATAGTTTCAAATAATACTCCATTATGAAATAGGCGAGAAATACCTTCGTGTGAGAGATGGAAAGAAAGAAAATCACCGTACAACTTTGTCTTTTACGGCGAAGCAGCGACAAATAACCACGAAACGAATCACCTCGCCGAGATTGATCACAAGAGGATAGATTGATCCACGAAATCACCGTGGAACTTCGCCATTAACATTCTCATTAGTCGAGACATCTTCCACGTTAGCGTGCTCGCAGAACGACGTTTCTTTTTTTCACACGATGTTTTCCCACCGTTAACGAGAGCCGATTATCCGCGAGAGAGTAATGCACGAGCTTTACCCTGACCGAAATTAACCCTTCAAATGGGTCGGTGCATTATGTACGTAATGTCGTGCGAAAGTGTCTTAATCGGAGAGGAAAAAGGAGAACAGTTGCAGTTTCAGTCGGCCGAAATAAACTCGAAGCTCTCGTAACTTTTGCCGCACAAGCCGTGTACCAGAAATGCATTTTCTCAAGCTGGCGTATTTGTGCGAATTCACGAGCTTCAATAATCATGAACTAATGCCAGTGTAATGCAGAAACGAATGCACACGGAAATAGATGTTGCTGCCATGACTAATCATGGTTTAGCTGAAAATGTTTTGCTACCGTAACTAAAACTTTAGTTATTATTGCTAGGTGTCATACTCGATATGTGTCTACTGTAGCTAAATTTGCAGGTGTCTATATGTTATAACGGAAATTTAGCAAGCGTATGGACAAGTTTAGTTATAGCGGACATATGTTAGATATGGCACCTTTACATCTAGCAACAGTAACTGAAGTTTTAGTTACAGAAGCGAATTTTTAACTACAGAAGCAAAACATTTTCAGCTAAGCCATGATCAGCGGCGTCAGCAACATGAAATTATAAAACTTTATTCGCCCATGTATGTAAAATAATTTTAAGTATGGGAAATAGAACATTTTTCATAGGTGAATCGTAACTGCAATAATCGCACAAAGTTTCTCGTCTGGACGATAAAAGAATTGATTTGCGGTCTCCCCACAAGTTTGTTTCCGCAACAACCGGACGGCACCGAAGCTGTTTCCCGTTGTAACAGGAAAAAGGGCGCGTTTATCGTTCGTCGAACTATATTACAATTACCGATATGGCGGTACGATTAATCGCTTGAATACCTTTCGCGCTCAGTTGACCTCTCGTTCACGATTTATTTCGACCGTTTCGCCCGCATCGATTTATATGAGAATTTTTCGATCGTTATATCAAATACAAGTTTTCCGCGTCGAATAGAAATATATCTGTGATATGTAATTAATAAATAATTAATAAATGTTATATACACGATAATTACTGGCGTTTCAATATGCGAAATAACACTTTCTACGCACTTTCTAATGTAGAATTTAAAAAACAGAGCTGTGCGTTACTGCCTTATGAAGAGAGGAAACTCCAAAAATGATGTCTGTTTACGAAGAAAATATCAGAAGCCACAGAAATGTTATATTTACGTTATATTTTACTTTAGCTTCTTGCTATTGCTCTCGCGGTGATGAAACTTTGTCTCAAGCATGACTACAGCTGCCAATAAATCAAACATCGCACCTGTTTAATGAAATTCACACATACATTTGGGTCTTGCTGCCACACCGAGTGAAATGATCACGACAGATTCTCTGCCAATTGGAATTTTCGTTAAACTGGAATTTCGAAAACAACGTTTCGTTAGACACTTGCTAAAATTTGCTATTACGCACTTGCCGTTACGCACTCGCTACTACGCATTTGCATTTTCGAAGCGTAACTTGCTGGAATTCTTCATTCGTCGACGTTAAGTATCAAGCTGATAAGCAAGGCATCTCTGGAGATTTTTGTGAGAGAAAAATTTTGATTCCGCGTTTATAAAAGATTCCGCAATTGAAATTTCTTCCGGACTCATATATTTATGAATACACATACATAAACGATATAATTACACGCCTTTTCTTTCCTTATCAGAGTATAACGGCACTTGCATGACTTTCGTTCTCGACAGGAAGCTCGTCGCCATTGTCACACATCATACGCAGACAAGAAAAGGTGAGGCCGGAAATGATAAGACCGGACGTCGGGCGAGTCTTTCTCTAGAAGTGTAATTCTGTATAACCAACCGTGTAATGTGATTCTCTGTAACGAGCGAGCAGCGAAAAAGAGAAGCTGAAGGCCCGAAAACACAGAGTTGGCTACTGTCGCGAAATCCGTCAGACTGGTTGAGAAACGTACGGAAGAATAAATAACACTTCGCGAGAGCGTTTCTCTCGCACGCCTTGCACTTTTGCCAGGTGTAAATCAGTTTGCCGTCATTAAATGAAAATTACTGCGTTGACGTAAGTGAGACGTGATTACCCGCGATAGTCAACGTTACCGCGTATCACTGCAAAAAAAACAAGTTATATTCATTCTCGCCGCATAAATCGCGCACACATCCACATTTACACACACGGGTAGACCCGAATAGATATGACGCATTCAGATGACACATTACGCAGCATTCGTGTTACGCCAGGAAGATTACTATATCAATTCTCCTCCATTCCACACGCAACTCCATGACGGTCTCAGGTATTAATTATTATAGTCCAAGGATTCGACGACCTAATTCGCGAGCGACCGGGCACAACAACTGCACGAGTCGCGAATACTGTTCCACGGCCGTGAGGCAAACTAAGCTTGATGAAGATGTTAATCTGCCAACGATTGGCAAGCCGATTTAACGCTCCGTCGCAAAACTACACGCCAGTTGAGCCGTACAAATAACCTGAAAATAATTTACTTGTATATTTTAAGATTTTTCAACAGCTTGAAATTCATAAATATCCCAAACAATATTTATTTTTCTTTTTCGGACACACACATACATACATAGGACGAGCCGATGAATTAATTGATTGAAAACCCAAGTCGTTATGTATGATGAAAATGTAGAATAAATGTATATCGAAATAGGCCCCATTGTGAAAGTTTTCATGCGAAAATAAATTAATAATAAAAGAGAGAGACAAATGTTATTCTTATAGCTCGAACAGATATTTATCACATGTGTTATGTAAGCTCAAAATAACAATAAATTCTAGCAGCAAGAGATATTCACGAAAAACAAATGTGAATTCTGCGGCTCGTTTTTCAGTGGCGAATAGCGGGCGCAAGTTTCGCGTGTCTAACTGGCATGTAAATAATACGGTAACGCTCGTAAGCGCGGCTAATGCGTATTTAAAAATTAACGAAGGATAAACCAATGTCAGGGATAAACGTCATTTACACCGACGCGATTCCACGTGTTCGAGCGCGTGCAGGTTATGAATCCTCCTACGATATTGTACACAACCGCAATCTCACTTTCCATAATAGGTGAGCATCTATGAATGGATTGCGCAACATTAGAGCCAGGAGAGGCAGGTGGATACTTCACACTCGAACGCCTGTAAACCTTCACCCCGCGATATCAATTTTACTGAGGGAAGTAAAAAGCTCGCGGAACAATGATTTACCTCGAAGAAAATGAATACAGATGTATGCGTTCTTACATCATTCCGCATATATCAGTGCCTAGAATCTACGTGCCTTTCAGCCCAGCATCTTCTCCGGGCAAATAATTTTCCGTCAGGTCAGTAAAATAACTTTCTTTGAAGACTGCTGAGTAATTAGTCAGGCAAACGCCAATAATCTCAGACAAGAGTTACTCGACCAAAGTTTGCAAAAAATTCTCCTCGTGAACTTCGACCGAATGCTCGTAACTTAAAGAAGGATAACGCAACACTTAATCACCACGAACAATCCGTAAAAAATGTACACATCATTAAAATTCTAACTCGGGATTTCGAAAGAATTCACATAAACGCAATTCCCGATTCCTGTGAAGAAAAAATCAGAAAAAACATCTCACATACGCGTTGCCTACTCGGTAAAAATTCCATAGAAAGCCGTTAAGCATAAAGAGGTGGTGTCGGAAGGATTAAGTAGATCTATATTATTAGCGTCCACAGCCAATATCGGCTTTAACAAGTTACGACAACCTTCTCATTATACGTTGTGACGGCGTGTGCGATCGAGTAACACCACTCGATAGGTGAAATTGCTGTTTCTCGCGGAAACGAGCGGATAACACACATATCGAAACGAGATTCGCCGATAATCGGCGTTTATCCATCCCATGATTTTCCTCATGCGCGATACCTGTTCCACTCTGTGAACTACTACGAATTACGATTCCAGGCATCGAGGAGTATCGATAGCTCTCTTTCTCTCTACGAACAAACGTGACGCAGCTCGTACACGTGGGCAACCCGGTAGCGGCGCGTCCGTTCGTCGTCGAACTCACGGCGCGACGGCCGGCCGGAGAGCTAAAGGACACATTGAATCCTTAATGAGTCGTTCCGATACCGTTGCTACGGCCTCGACATGGCGTGGATGGCAGTCTAAGTATGTGGGACGCTCCGTATGGTACCGGTCGTCCGGATGAACATGTATGGCCATCGCGTCCGATCTAGCGTAGCCGTGACGCGCAGCACCGAATCCACTGCTGCGTCTAAGTCGGTCGCACATTGTTACGTGTCGCGACCCAACTTTTTGCTACCTTTGTCTTAAAACCATATTTATTACCCCATAGTTTGTTCCTGGGCCGGAAACCACATCCGAGGAGAGAGACGTATTGCAAATATCAAGCCCGATCGACGTCGCGAATTTCAAACCCGATGAGTATTATAACACGTAAATATTGGCATGGAGAAAAAGATTGATTGAATTAACGAGTGACCAAACTGTTCGGTTGGAGAAAACAGAATTTCTGAACCCAACTCAGCATTTGAGAACCAGAAATTCCGTTTCCTTCAACCAAAACGTGTTTGGCTCGTTTATGTTGTCGTATTAATTTACAACCGATCTTTTTCCTTCGTGTAGATAGTAAGAAAAAGTAAAACCCTACATATACAAAGAAGAAGATTTCTTTGTATTTAATGAAATGTCGAATTGAAACGAATTTATCTTTTAGAATGGAGCAAACGAATATTCGATTGAACAAGCAGAATTATTTGGTTTCACGAGGAATAAATATCTTTACGTCAAATAACACATTTCTTTTCATTTTCATTCAAACATTACAATGGGCAAGCAACAAATTATTTGAAAGCAGTATAATATTATGTTAGGAAAATGTTGAAGAACCTCTTTGTGTCTCAGTAGGACAATATTTAATATATAATGAGAAATAATTTTTTTGGTTGGAAATAAAATATTTCCTTTAAGTAATACTGTTTTCTTCTATCAAACAACATCGTCCACTCTAGTGAAACAACAACGTTTTCATTTCAAACCAAATATATATATATGATATATTATATTATCCACTCTAGTGAAATATAAATATAAATATAAATATATATAAATCTCTATATAAATATAAATATATGATATATTATATTATCCACTCTAGTGAAACAACAACGTTTTCATTTCAAACCAAATATACGATATATTATATTATATATAACAAAATATTAAATTACGTTGTTTGTATTAAACAAATCCAAGTCAAACACGTATATTAAATTCGAAAAACCCTTTTTTCTGTGATAGGTACTTTCGATCAAAATGATCAAACTTCCCATTAGGGCTAAGAGAGACCCGTACGTATGGCCCCGTTCAATTCTCGTTCGCTGCTCCTGAAAGTAACGGCTCCCGCATCAGCCCGAAAATGAAGCACCCGTCAGAGAATCTTGAATTAAACCGTTTCATTCCCTACATTTAATATTACATCTTGCGACATACACGCCCGTATCAGCGATTGGCGAGCGTCCGCCGGGGGAAAACCGGTTCTTCCGATACCGCCGGTGTTGTTCCCGACGCGACACATAGATTCGGAATTACCGAGTTAACAAAAATCTCGGCCTTTTCGCGACCCTGGCCGATCGACGATGCGCCCGTGGCTCTCGTCTCGCTGCGATTTTCGGACTCTTTAACCGCCTCTCGCCGTCCTCGAATAATTAATCGCATGTACTCGTGGAAAACGACCAAGGTCGCATTTTTTCTCCGAGTCAACAGCGCGTAATAAGGCGTGACCGCGCGTCTTTGATTGATGAGTCCGCAGTTCATCTTGCAAAAAATTCCACCGGAGACTATCGTTGACCTTCTTATTTATTCTGCGTTGGATCAGCGCTGAACTGACTCCCAACGTTTAAGCTTCGATAAATTCAGATTTCCATTAAAATAAGATAACCACTCGGTGAATTAGCTTTCACAAGCGAGATTTATATTCTTGAATCTTGATCTTCGCCGGTGCTCCGCCGTAATTTTCAATTACGGGAGAAACAGTGCCGAGCACGTGTGCGAAGGAAATAAGGTCGACTTTCTTCGGAAATAACACACGACGTGTAAATGATGTATCATCACGTATAACACGACATGTTTCACATAGAGAGGATTAAGGAGAAGGAATATCTTTTCATTATCCGCCGGTAATTCGGTCAGATGACACGCTGCGATACGGACAGCTCGTTCGCGACGGGAGATCGGCGCTCCGCAACCGAATTGTTTCGTGTCTCTCTCTCTCTTTCTCGTCGTGGTGAACGAAGATTACTTCATCTGGCGATATCTCGACGGTAAGAGCCGGTTGTAAGCCCCCGCGACTCACACGCGCTATATTCGGCGTCGTCGTCAGCGTGGCGCGCGCGGTAATTTCCATGTCATTGATATTCATTCTTAATCCCCGCGCGCAATTTGCAATTGTCCCCGAGAGTGCAGCGCGTTCGATAAACGACACGAAATAACTGTACTTAATATTTTAACGAGCGTGTCATAGACGTGCGGTGCTCGCGCGTCGCTCGTAACACGCGCTATCCGATCCGCGCATACCGTTGATGCGATAAAGTGACGAAAGTAATTACGTCAATTACTTGCGATGGATTAAACTGAGAAATTAATCTACAGATCATTGTGCTAATCTTTCTTATCGCGGGGCCCATGAAAGATGCGCTATTAATTATTCAGCCGAATGTGTTAAGCAGCCGTAACTAAAGCAATTAATAATACTCCAACGTGAAATAACGGTGTAACGGTAGATACGTCACGAAGAAGAGAGTGAGAAGCGCGAAAAAAAAAAAGAAAATACTCACGAATCGTTCGTTCGTATGGTCAGCATGGGGAAAAATTGGATGGAAGACACGACGGACAATAAATCACGTCGAAGGCATTCGATAAGCTCGTTACACTATCCTACTGTTTTCGCCGACAAGTCACCGACGGGCCGGAAAACGACCTTTACCGGTGTGTTGTCCTAATTAAAATATAATAAAAATATCACAGAAAACGCGGAAATGAAAATTCCATTTAGTATTCCACACAGACCTAGGATTCGGTCAGTGTGTCAGCGTGTGAAATTGAATAACTGCGAAGTAATTTAATGAAAGTACACGGAACTATCCGCATTATTTAGGAATGAAGGTCCCTAACATCCTGACGTCGACGTCGGGAGCAATGAAAGCTCGCCGTTATTACGCAATTTCATTTCCAACACCCCGGGACTCTGCAAACGGACTTTCGCAACGCATGTAAGATTCATTCCCTCATTGTTCCCGACACTAGTGTCGCCGGCTATAGAGCCACATATGCCATTATAGGAAGCGGTTGTTTCGCGTCAGATCAATATACATTCCTTCTTACCTCCGTCAATCGTAAATAATATACAAACCTGCACACGTAATGAAGAGGAATGTATGG